ATCTCAACACCTGGATGTCTGCCCTCCAGTGGACTAGGGATGACATAGGCTCAGCCTGGGCTGGTGGGAATGGGGAAGTTTCCTGTGTGGGGTTGGCCTTGCAACTCAGTCCTCACTCAGTGCCCTTCTGCTCATTCCAGAGGAAATTGCTGATCTGACTGACCAGATCAGTCTGAGTGGCAAAACTATCCACGAGCTGGAGAAGCTGAAGAAGGCCCTGGAGAGTGAGAAGAGTGATATACAGGCGGCACTGGAGGAGGCTGAGGTGGGTGTGCCGTTTCCCACCAATTCTTGCATGCACCTGCTGCCCCCTGAGAGCCGCCTCACCTACCTTGCAGCTCCAGGCAGGGTGGTTTGGGGCAGGTGATCCTTGCAGCATGACAGCCCCGAGTGACAGGCTGCAACCAGCACATGGGGGAATTCTTGGTTCCCACTCATGAGTGTTGTGCAACCCCTAGCAAGTCACTGAGGTGGGCTCCTGACTCCCCATGCTCCCCACAGTTCTAGGCAGGGATGTGAGGCCAGGCTAGGGTGGCTGGGGAGACCTTCCTACAGGCTCCATTCACATAGGGATGCTGCTATCTCTAGGGGGCCCTGGAGCACGAAGAGAGCAAGACGCTGCGTATCCAGCTGGAGCTGAACCAGATCAAGGCTGACGTGGATAGGAAGCTGGCGGAGAAGGACGAGGAGTTTGAGAACCTGAGGTGTGTGGGAAGAGGAGACAGGTTAAGCTATTACTGCAGGGGTGGAGCTGGCGCGACACCCATGATGGGACAATTGGCGCTGGCTGCGGCTTCCCTAGGCCACGTGCTTGCATCAGGATAGGGCTGACACCCTGTCACACAATGCCTCCCGCAGGCGAAACCACCAGCGCGCCATGGACTCCATGCAGGCCACCCTGGATGCGGAGGCTCGGGCTAAGAATGAGGCTATCAGGTTGAGAAAGAAGATGGAGGGGGACCTGAATGAGATGGAGATCCAGCTAAGCCATGCCAACCGCCAGGCGGCTGAGTTCCAGAAGCTGGGCCGCCAGCTCCAGTCCCAGATTAAGGTTGGACAGCTATGGTTGGGTGCTGCCCCAGCTGCCAGTCCTGGCTTGGGGGCCATCCCCTTCTCCTTTCCTTCCCCATTGACCCTGCACTGCCCGGCAGGACCTGCAAATTGAGCTGGACGACACCCAGCGCCACAACGATGACCTGAAGGAGCAGGCAGCCGCACTGGAGCGACGCAACAACCTGCTGCTGGCGGAGGTGGAGGAGCTGCGGGCAGCCCTGGAGCAGGCCGAGAGGAGCAGGAAGTTGGCAGAGCAGGAGCTGTTGGAGGCCACGGAGAGGGTCAACCTACTTCACTCACAGGTGAGGGGGCCTGTTATCAGCCTGCTGGGACTTGGCACTCTGTTGGCCCGTGGATGGGCTGAGGCACCTGGGAGCCTGTCTGGCTTTGGGCCACCATCCAAGGCGTACAGCCAGTCCCTGTGCCACTTCCCCATTCTCCCTCTGCAGAACACAGGCCTGATCAACCAAAAGAAGAAGCTGGAGACCGACATCTCGCAACTGAGCAGCGAGGTGGAGGATGCAGTGCAGGAGTGCCGCAATGCTGAAGAGAAGGCGAAGAAGGCCATCACAGATGTAAGAGCATGGTAGAGACTGTGCTACATGGCTAGGCAAAGGTGCCCAGCGTCCTGCGGTGCTGGCAGCAGGGAGGAGAGGGGAGGGTCTTGCAGATCCCCTGTGGGGCCCCTGTATCTTTTGGGGCTGCCTGGCCTAGGTGATGTCGGTATGCCCTTGGCCCTGCAGGCTGCCATGATGGCAGAAGAGCTGAAGAAGGAGCAGGACACGAGCGCACACTTGGAGCGGATGAAGAAGAACATGGAGCAGACCATCAAGGACCTGCAGATGCGCCTGGATGAAGCAGAGCAGATTGCTCTCAAGGGGGGCAAGAAGCAGATCCAGAAGCTGGAGGCCAGGGTGAGGTGGCAAGGGCAGGCCACCAGCAGTGCCCACACAGGAGCTGGCTCCTGGCACTGCCTCAGCTTGCATGCTCTTCAGCCTGGCGTGGTACCAAACTTTGCAGGGCACAGGCATGGCCCCCATCCCTCTCTGTGGGCCAGCTGGTGTCACACGGTGGGCCGTAGGCAGTGAGGGGCAGCCCCTGAGGACCTGAGAGCTTGGGCCTGGATTCAAGCCATTGTCTGGGATGGCTCAGCCACTGCTGGGGCGCCTCTGAGCTGGAAAATTGGCTTGACCCTGAGTAGGGCTGGGTGCTGGCGCCATCTCGTCAGCCCAGCCCGGCTGTGGCACTGAGGAAGCAGGGCACTGACCTGGCCTCTCGCCATGCGCAGGTACGTGAACTGGAGGGGGAGCTGGATATGGAGCAGAAGAAGATGGCCGAAGCCCAGAAGGGCATTCGCAAGTATGAGCGGAGGATCAAGGAGCTGAGCTACCAGGTATGGTGGCACTGACACAGCCCTCTCCCAGCAGGACTCGGGGCCTAGCATCCGCCTCACTAAGCCCCCCCCCCCCCGAAACGTGCTCAGACCCTTGCCCTCTCCAGTGCACCACCAGTCCACAGGGTCCCATCTCTGAGGCCAGCACAGCAGTATTTTGTTCTGGGCCCTGTGCTGGCACAGAAAGGAGGGGGATGCCTAGTCCCTGGCATCTGCCACCTGCTGCTGTGTCCCTCTGCCCCTTCAGGGGCACGGCCTCAGCTGGGTGCTGGGACACAAGGAGGGAGCTGGGGGACCGTCCATGGGACATGGGGCTGGTGGCTGACATCAGTGGAGTGGCCCTGCCGCCACTGTGATTCTTGTAGACGTGTTAGGGCAGCAGGAGTCTGAGCAGGGCCGCGAGGTCTTGCAGCAGCCACCAGGGCTCCTGCTAACCAGGCTGGTGGGCCCTTCCAGGGTGAGGAAGACCGGAAGAACCTGACACGGATGCAGGACCTGATTGACAAGCTGCAGAGCAAGGTCAAGAGCTATAAGCGCCAGTTTGAGGAGGCGGTAAGTGTTAGTCGCCACCACAGGTCTGGTCTTTTCTAGGGCTGCTTGGGCAATCCCTGTGGGCACCCCATAGTGCCCAGCTGGGTGAGCTAAAGGGGAAAGGGGCCTGCCCAGGTCCAGTGTGGGGAACTCAGGGCCAAGGGGCTGAGCTGTGCCTCATGCACACCCAGCTCGCCCCTCACCCTGCCCTGTTTGCCCCCTCCCTCAGGAGCAGCAAGCCAACTCCAACCTGGTGAAGTACCGCAAGGTGCAGCACGAGCTGGATGATGCGGAGGAGCGGGCTGACATCGCCGAGACACAGGTCAACAAGCTGCGTGCCCGCACCAGGGAGGTCATCACCTCCAAGGTAAGGCAGGGCTCCCCAAGACCACCCAGCTGCAGGGAGGGGAAAGTAGGGCAAGGGCTTGCTTTTGTCCAGCCAGGCACAGGGCTTGAGTGGCTAGACAGGCCCAGGCTATACCTAGCCTGGCACTACCGCAGTAGTGCCAGCCAGACCTGAATGGTGGCTGAGCACTACCTCCCAGCCCAGCATCTCACCTTATGCCTTTATTTTTTGCCAGCACGAGGAGTAGAAGCATGGACCTGTGCCCAGTCCTGTCCCTCATCCGCCTGCTGTACTTTGGAGGCAAACGGCTGCAACAGTCACTGCCAGCTTTGCACTGAGTGAATAAATGTAGCGCTCTACCGGGAAAGGCTCCTTTGTGTCTGTGATGGGGTAATACCAGCCTTGCCTTGGGCTCTGCTGCAGTAGTGTAATGGAGACCTGGGGAGGCAAGGTGGGAGCTTTAGGGATGCCCTTCACCCCTAGGCAAGGACAGGAGAGGGGCATTGGCCTCCCCTGGCACCAGGGAATCGGAGCTGCTGCCAGCGCTGGGCAACTTGCAGTGGAGCTCCAAGCTTGGCCAAGAGCAGTTTTTTCCTTCTCCCTTGCTCACGCACTGGTTCAGCTCTGGGGAAAGAGCCCTTTCCTCACCCTTCCTCCAAGAATCCTTCAGCACACTCAGCTTACTGAGAGGTGAGGCAAGGCATGGGGATGAGCAGGGAGGGCAGAACAAACCTCACTCAAATCATTAGCCAAGGTGAGAACGTGAACAATCCTAAGTGCATTCCTGTAGGGCAGAGGGAAGCTCATTACAGCTTTGGGAAAGGCACTACAAAGAAAGACATTCCACTTACTTCTTTAAAATAGATTTCTTTAATAAGTTTCCATTTAATACGTTTATTTGCAGTTAGTAAATTGGCATTAATCTGGGCAGCACAAACCTCAGCAATCCATGGGGATAGTGCAGACTTCCAGAAGTAGTTGTTAGTCTCAGGGGTCTCCCCTCCATCCCCCCCCGCCCTCCCCAACCCTTCCAGCACTTGACCTGCTGAAGCTTCCACTAAGTCAGCAACCAGGTCAGTGAGCACTCCCTGGCACTGCACCGGACACTTCTTCCCTCTGCTCTCCATAAATAAGAAAAAAACAAGGATGAAAGCCTGAATTGTCTCGTCCCTCTCAAGAAAAAGTCTTGAGGCATCTGGCATGGACAGACAAGCTCACAGGAGACTGGCTCCCAGCTGAAGTTTGCCAGCAGCCCTCCCCTTGCCTGCTGCAGTGGCAGCAAGCAGAACCTTTCTGCTGGAGACCAGAGCGCTCTCTCCTGGAGGAGTCACTGCGGGTTTCCTTTCTGTGCACTCTTCTGAAGGCAGCCAGCTTAGCCTCCTGCAAAACCCTGAAGGTGAAAGCAAAGCCAAGCTGCCGCTAGTAGGCAAGGACCCAAAACATACAAAGACATATAAATTACTGTGCTCCCACTCTGGGGAGGAGGGCTTCACAAGCTAGAAGGCAAACTGGGATTATTTCAGCTCAGCCATACGCAGGCCAATAGCCAAGAAGAAATGCAGCTTGGCACCTAACTGTAAGTTACATAAATACAGAGATGTAAATGAGATTCTGCAGGTTTATAGCAGCAATCATTGGATGCACCAATTAACTAGACTATGGAAAAGGCATCCCTTAACTTAAAAGCCTTTTAATTTGAAGCATTTATTTTAAGTGTACATCTATTACAGTTAAGAAGAAGCAAAGATACACCAAAAACACAAATACCCAAGAACAAAAAAAGTACAGATGAGAAAGAAATTAGCTGGGGGGAGGGGGGGGCAGGCTGGGGGGTGACCTGGTGAAGAACAGAGAGTTGCAGCTGCCATAGCAAAGAGTTCCCCGACACAAGGACTGAGACCAGAGTAACATCACTGGAGCTGGCCAAAGGCTACCGGAGGAATTCAGCCCTCCAGGGAGGTTCCCCAGGAGTTCCTGCAAGATTCCAGGTTTATGTACAAGCTCAGCATCTCTGACCACCCTGCAAGCAAAGTACTGACTGTAAGTCTGCAGCAGGACACAGAAGTAAAAGAAAAGCTAGAGAAGAAGGGTGACTTTTAGAGAGCAAATCCTGCGCTAGGGGCTGGAAGCCAGGCCCCAGCACAGAGATCCTCAGAATGGCTTTCACTCTGCTGGCAAAGATTAGGGACAAAATGCTACAGCTCAGGGATACCCGCACCACCCTTCCCTGCCTCCAGCTCCTGGAGAGATGTGCAAATTGTCTCATCAACTAAGTTAAAAAACGTGTAATTCAGATGCATGTCTGAAAGGAAAACGGCTTCTTTTAGCTGGAGCTGCTAGATGCATACGATTTGACTTAAATGCAGTGGCTCAGGACTTCAGACTATTTCATTCCTGGGAATGTGACTGTCTCGGAGTAACATAATTAACACTGGTGAGTAGGCAGGGCATGTTCAGGTTTGGCAATTGGGACTCTGCCCAAACCTGCTCCCCGCTTCCCCAACACATCCTACAAAGTTACTTTCAACTAGGAGTGTTTATTCCCAGCATTTAACACATTCCGATTAAAACAAATCGAGGAAAAACTGACATCTCCAATAAATATTGCACTTCAAGATTAATGTGTGTGTGTTGATACTAAGAACTGAAAGCAGAGACGGATATAAGACTTCCAGGCATAGCAGGTTAGCATCAAGAGCAATGGTCCTGAAAAGGATTTTAAAATCAGATTAGTTACCCAAGAAGGGACAAGCCGCAAGTTTTAAAAAAATTAGTACATTTTAATGCTAGTGCTCCATGAAAAAGCCAACCCCTGTTGCAATTCCACCACTGCTGAAACGTCTCTGTTCTCCGCAGCATTGTAAAAACACCTTCAGACAGGAAGGATCTGCAGGAAAGACAGCAGGAGCAGAGGTGCTCTCCTAACACACGAACAGACAAAGGCCCAACAGATTTAGTACCAAATGATCCAAAAGTAGATGGTAAAGAGGTGACTGGAGCTAGGGCTCTCAGGAATTAAAAGCACACGCACACACACTCACTCTAACCAACCCTAAACCCCTGATTCCAAACCCCAACAGAAGAGTTAAACCTGAAGGGAGTCCTCTTGGTGGCTCTGCGTGTGGCTGGTGTGTTGGGGTCCCAGTCAGATTGGCTCCTTGGACCTCACATTTGGAGGGCAATTTCTGTGCTTTTTGATTTGCTAATTCTGGTAGCCAGGAAAAAGAACCGCAACCAAACTGGCACATACAGGATATTCTCATCTGTCATCAAAAAGGACTCCAACCAGCTACATTTGACTGGAAGAGGAGGAAAAAAAAAAAAAAGGCTGGTTTTTTTGCAGGTGCTTATTTTTATCCCAGAACAAATGGAAGATACATCCCTGAATGTGTTGCCCAGAGAGCTGTCAAAAGTCTCCTCTGTTAGAGATCAGAGATGGGGACTGGGAAGGGGGCCGGGGTTTTAACAATGCAGTAACGCTCCATGGTTCCAAGCCGCACACGCACACACACACTACACAGCGTATCCCTGAAAATCCACGGTCTGCGAGGTACCCTCCAAGCGCTGTCCATCAGAAACCAGAGTGAAGAATTACTCCTCAGAAAAGTCTCTGTCAATGTCCATATATGCCTCATCGATGTAGCTAACTATGGCACAGGGGGATGTCCGGTCCGGACTGAGCAGTATAGATACAGTCTCTTTCCAGTAGGTAAAACTAATACATGAGCTCTGTGGAAAGAGGGGAAGAGACTGGTTAGCAGGGTCTGCAGGCACCAACACGCATTAGAGCGGACATCTCAGATGCAGAGAAAACTGAAAATCACTTCCTATCTAGCCTGCTTTCCTCAGCCACACACTTTAACCTCTGATTCACCATTGAGGCCATCCTGCTTAAAGGTGCGGAGCAGGAGAGGTGGACGTTGAACCAACTATCCCAGGCAATACTATTTCTACTGTTCCTACTATGACCTCTAGCACGTTGGTTCTACTAGCAGAGCAGCATTAGAGATGGTATTTAAGGACACTGGATACCTCTCGCAACCAGGGAAAGGAAAACAGCAGCATGGAGAACTCCCCAGAAGACAGTACATCCCACATCCCCATGCAAGCACATTGCTGGAGTGGGATGTTGAGCTACAGACACCCGCACAACCAGCAGGTCAGTCACCTGTCTGTGCCTCAGGCAGGTGCCTGAATCATGGCTTGGATAATTTGGAAAAACTAAACAGAAAGAGTGGACCTTGACTGCATCCTAGTGAAAAATAAACGTAGGGGGAAAGCGAGGTTAAGATGCAAGACAGAAGTCTACTTTACAAGAGACCCAAGATCCACCCAAACAAAAGCGCCATGAAGGAGGCTTCACAGCAGCGCTACAGGCCAAACTGCTCTCTCCCGGAAGGACAAAGGAGATGCAGAGATGCAAGGTGGCTGCTAGTTCAGGGAGCAGAAGGCGCTGAAGCTCATGTGCTCAGCCGCATAGAAGGAGGTAAGAAGCCTCCTGCCTTCCTTGGGACCTTTAAGAGCAATTCTATACAGGCTCCCCAAAAAGATGATCAGCTTCCTTGCATGGTCACCTCCATCTCTGACCTGCTCGTCTGAGAGACCTGAACCATACATCTGCCTTGTGCTACTGTGACTGCATGCACCAGGGACCTGACTGATAAAACGGTGTGAAAAGCACTTCAGAAAATTACACTGGGGAGGCTGAACTTGCTCCTTTCTTTCCCTTCACATCTCATTCCCATTATTGCTAGGTGACTAATACACAGACGATTATGATTTTTCTTACTGTGTTTAAGAGGCTCACATACATTTTCTAAGCAGGTGCTGTCTTTGTCCTTGTTGAGGTAATGCTGTTGCCAGAATCGCAGGAGACTGTGGAAGTTGTTCAGGATGAAGCCTGGGTATTTTTCTGTGTATTCCATCTGTTGCAAAGTGCGCAGATAAAAAGGTAGCTTTTCTTTCCTTCTGGCCAGCATTAAGATAACTAAACTTGTGTTCAAACAACTGACATTTTCCTAAAAGTAAAAATAACACAGTATGGTCAAAGAACAAAAATTTGAGATATTGATTGTATAGATGACCTTCAAAATGCCTTCAAGGCAAGCATGCAGAGGAAGTTCTATCTGTAACACAAAAAAGGGACATTGGTCTCTTGAAGAGAAGCCAAGATTCCTCCCTACTCCCAGCCCAGCTCATCAGTACACAATATCAGCAAGGAATCAGCGAAATTATCGTCAGCTCTTTACCTGTGTAAGTGTCTGTACATGAATAATATTAATGAGACGGAAAAGAAAGGACATTCTCATGGACATCTGGGACATATACGATAGCAGGCGGCACTCTGACAGGACTTCTGCAACTGCAGCAAGAGGAAAAAGAGAATCATCAGGTGCTTAAGCTTTAGATACATTGATATGAGTGTTGCAGCTGTAAGAACTGCTGCTTAGACCACAGAAACAAACATAAAGGGGGTATTTCTCTGTCTCCAAACAACAATTTTCAAAGTCCAGGCTTAAAATAACCACTGTCACTACCAAACACACACACCACTCCTTATTCTTTACCTTTAGCATCAGACTGATTCTCAAATCGGTCCAGGGACAACGTAATGCAGCGAACCAACATGTTTGAGTCAACCAATGAACTGTTGATCTGATTCAAAAATGTCTGGAACTAAAGAGAAATACTTTTTTAGTGTTGCATTTGCCCCAAAGAGTGTCCTACACGAGCACCAACAGATGAAGCCTGACAGAAAAGCATTCCATACCCTTTTAAGAACGTGTCATGACCAAGAGGTGCACTAAATCAATTATTCTGTTGGCACAAGGGGAACAGGCTACTGAACCTCAGCGCGCAGAGCAACAAATAAGGCTTGGTGAATTGGACAATAGCTGCAATCCAGAACTGAACTGTCAACACTGAAAGAGTACGGTCCTTAACGGTTACGGGAGAAACCATCTCGCAAGCACCCAGGAGTGCACATCATCAAAATAAGGCTTCAGGGATGCAGACAACTTCCCCTTCCCATTAGAAACGAGGAAGCTAGGTTCTGAATGCCAAAACCCTTATCGTCATTTCCTTGCCAGCCACTTTCAGCCTGAACACTTAATCAGTGTACCTTTTCACTCTTAAGCAAGCGTGCACACTGCAACAGCTCACTGGAAAATGCAACAGGCATCAAGGCCTGGTCAGCAGAAGAACAAGAAATAGGTACACCCACCTTTAAGTAACTTGCTTTACCCTAACAAGAATAAAATGAGAGATGTGCTCCCTACCTGCCTCATCCAACCCAAGCCAATACGGGCAGCAAGGGCTGACCAAAGGACGCCCTAGAGCAAATAGCTTGAAAACATTAAGGAACAGAAAAGTGCCCAGGTCCTGGCACTATCAAAATCTGTTATGAAGCAGACCCCATCACCTCAACGAGACCAAGCAATTTGTTTTGAAAGAGGGATACGAGACAAGCAGGGGTGTTGAGCTCTGTAGTTCCTCCAGGTCCATGTTTTCCTACACTAATTTTGAATAGCAGTTAGTGCTAGGGAGACATACAGTGAGACATTCATAAAGAACGAGGATTAAGAAAAAATTACAGACCAACAAATAGGAAGAACACACAAAGTACATTCTCTAGAAGTAGATTCTCTAGAACTTCTCAGTCAGTTACCAGAGAACAACCTTATATTAAATACACCCTTCCTGGAAACACTGCTCTGCTTCTATTCTCCAAGGTCTGCCAGATTTAGCAGCAACTAGAAAAGATTTCCAATATCATAAGCAAGAGTAGGAGGCCATTCAAAACCTAAGCATCAGCTGAGGTTAAATACATGGAAGCGCATAAAAACATGAAACCACTCATGCATAGAGAGCTGCCCATTCTTGATCTACACAGAAAACTTTAAGAGTTTTATAGGTAATTGTATCAGCCATGACCTTCTAAATATGCCTCTAAGTTCGAATACCACCAAAAAGGAGACATACCTTTTTGCATTAACAAATATGAAAGAGTATTTTAAGTCACCTACATTAAGATTTGTCTTCCACAATAATTTTATTTACAAGCTGCCATGACAGATTTATTGGCTAGTCTGTCTCAAATGTTCACAACAACCAGCTTAAACCAAAACCCAGTGACATCACAGCAACTGTTCTATGGACTCAGAGCTCTGACCTTGGATCTGCCTGATCACGCAATGGGGCAACATTTTCTGAACAACTCAGAAACTGCTGACTCAGAACAGCTGGGAGCACTTCTGAAAATACAAGCGTATGCAGAGGAAAAGTCAGCAACTTATGTACTTACAAAGAGACTTTGGCAGGTCAGTGCTCTGGGTTTACTGGGCATCAAGCTCATCACATCAAAAGTAGCAAATGAACCTGAGGTTTCCCACTACTACAACTGGTTATATGAGGCTGTAATTAGACCTACTGGGGACAGCTTTTACAAATATTTACCTTCTCATCTGTGTTGATGTACTTGTTGAACCTCTTGAATGCATCAATATTGAATTTCATCAGTTCTCCCAGAAGGTCAAAGTAACTCTGCAGCACATCCCGCGATTTGCACTCACTGTCAACAATGCAGTAGAGAATATGCTGGCACGGGAAGAAAGCATGTTATTGCCACAGCTTAGCCCAAGCCACCAGTACAGCACAGACTCTTACATAAAACATTTATCTGCAGGTTTAGTTCTTATATGGCAGAACTACAGACAACAATTCAAATGAGTCTAACATAGTCTGCATCAGGGGAAAGTTAATTTAATAGAATGGGCCACCCCATGCCTGGTTGCCACAAGTAGAACTCACAAACACTTTTCAAAGTTACAAAAATTGCCCTACTTCTATAGCAAACATTTAGCATTTCATTTTCACCCTCTCTGCTTTCTTTATTAAAAAGTCCTTCTTGATCGTTACGGAGATATGTTACAGATTAAGCTTAACATGTACTTCTTACCTCCAGGAGTCCTCTCTTGAGCAGGAACATCTGGTCTGCATAGGAGGTGGTGCCTCGCAGAAAACTTTCAACTGCCCTTGCTTGCCAAAACCTGAGAAACAGCAGAAACGAGGTTTTAGTCTTAATTTTGAAGCAAGGGGAAGAATTTTATCACAACCAGTTGTGATAAAATTCAGGTGGAATCAGTTTCATTCCAACATGAAGCTGGAGAGAGACTTGGTGATCCTGCAGAAAGTCACTGATTATACTGGATGTAAGGTCCAACGAATGCTTTGGCCTTCTCCCGCCCCTGCACTGTCACTGCAGTCAAATGCAACAGAAGTCTTTTCCCACCTCATGATTTTAAGCATTTTAAACTGCTGCAAGCCCTGCAAAAACTGCTTTTCCAGTCACCTCAAAATAACATGCTAAAGTGCAAGCACAGCCTACCTGAAGGAGGATTCAGCTGGTTCCTTCTTCATGACCTGAAGCAGTCTGGTTAGCAAACCTCTTTTCCCATCACAGACAAGACTCCTAAAGCATGCAAAAAAATTACAGTATGAGAGGAAGGGCTGACAAGCGCTGTATTTTGTAGAACACTGAATCCAGTCTCCTCTCCAGAACTTCTAGTGATCTAAAGCTCAGTACTAGCTATACAGCAAGAAAACGCATTAACTTTTTTTACTAGTTCTACTGTGGGAGAGGTAGCCTAACCACCTTTGGTAAAGTTCTGAAAAATCTTCCACACGAACGACTTCCAAATAAATCCAAGAGAAGACCACTTCTTCTCTTTCAAAATATGCAAATGCAATTTGTAAAACTTAAGTGATTAAAAAAAAAGTACCAATTTGAGCTTAGGGATGAAAGAAAAACATGCCTTTTTCCCCTCAACAACCATAAAGGAAGATCTACATTCTGTTTAGTAAGCAGCAGATCAGAGGATGCAAACCTAGCATCTGGCATCTTTGAGATTAGGCAGCCTCTCTCTGTTTGTACTAACAAAACTATAGAGGCTGTAGGACTGCGATATTACCTGTATATAATAGCACCTCAGAAGACTATTTACCCACTGGAAGCATGTGCAGAAGCACTGCCTTAATCTCATGTAGCAAGAAAGATGCTATGGAAATGAAATGCTAAGGTTGGAAAAGAAACCAAATTTATGCCAAGAATCAAGCGATGCTGCTTGTCTGGCTATACAAGTCATTCCATAGAGGTATGACAAGATGCGCCACAGTGGCACTTTTCTACTGCAAAAAAAATAGCATGTGTATTCTGCTGATACGTCCAGGTTATTGCCTGCATACTGTATCAGCACCTTTGCTGGGCAGTCAATAGCCAGCTGATCAAGCCCTTGTGGAAAGTGGTATGCTTTCAGCATGGTAGTCTGTTCTTACTGAGACTCGAGAAAGCTGAGAAACTTCGCAGGATAGAAAAAGCTGTTTATAGCCTTGTTCCACTTCATTTCAGTGCACTCAGAACAGGCCAGATTTCTCCCCCTCTCCAAATATTTACTCCTTTTTGAACAAAGATGAAAAGAAACCTGTGCTTAGGAGGAAGGGATCTGAGTGACACTGATACCACTTCTTACCAGTTAGGCAGATTATTATGATAATAATTATAACCTGGAAATCCTCTTAGATGATTGCCTTTTGAAGAAAGGTAAACCTGCTTTGTGCAGTCCAAGTCCCTCCTGATACTCTGGAAGTATTTTGACCACTAAATTCTGAAAATGTTTCACTTTGTGAGATTTCTACATCAGAGTTGTATATTAAACTAAATCAAAATAGTCAACCCAATAAATAGCCATGTAAAGCGCTGGGAATTCTGTAAATGGTTTAACGTGTTAATCTAATTTAGCTTATTCTAGTTATTAGCTGCTCTTAAAATAAAAGCTTTGAGCAGGCACACTTAAATCTGTTTATGCAGACTAGAAACGGACATTGTGTGCACAGACTGCTCTTGAATCTCAAGTCTAATATTTATTAATAGCAGCAATTCATGCATTAGAGGGATCCCAGCTCTTTCTATAAAGCTAGTAGTGAGAGAGGCCAGACAAGCAGACAGACTTAGCACGTCATATGGAAGTCTGGGCCACGAACTCAAAATCCCCATGTCAGGTTGCATTTGTTTTTAAAGGGCTTTACTCAGAGTACAAGCACACTTTAAAGTTGCTAACAACCACGAACACCATACAAACGCTCAGTAGGACTTCAAACAAAACAGGCGACATCAAACCTCCAACCTAAGCGCGTGCAAAACGCTAGAAGCTGCTGGCCTAGAACCTCTACTCCTCCTTACCTGTCCGTGTTAACAACAGCGTCAACTTCAGGGATGTTGGCTTTATGGGAGATTGCACTCAGTTCATTAAGTTCTTGGCTGTTTAAAAGCAGATACTTGTTCCTAAAGCAAGGCAGTTGGGGAGTAGGGGGAAAAAAAAAAAAAAAGAGATGATGAAACCATTAGAGAGACAGACAAATGTGCAATGTCACGAACAACACCACCACACCACACAGCTAGCTGCTGTTCTGTAAGCTTCTCTGAAATCTGCCAAATGCAAGTCTCAACACTAAGGAGCTTCATGATACCCAGCCTTTGCTGATCTGGTCAGGATCTTACGGTCTGTTTTGTAAATATTTCCTTCCAGGTGGCGCTAGTTTTTAAAAACCTCAGCAATAGTTTACTGAATTTCAACAGACTTAAATAGCAGATTCCTTCGCCAGCCACTTCCTACAGTTTTTCTCTGCCATAAAGTGACTTTGCTGTTTATCAGTAATTAACCTCATATAGAGAGTAGGAATCTGAAACTGTAAAAAAGCAAAAACAAAACAAAAAACTTACACTTCTCAAGCTGGTATTTTATTGCTGTGATTGAATTGGTTACCCTGGAAATATTTAAAGAATTAATGAAATGTAGAAGAAAAACCAGGGATGGATATAAAAACAAGGAATTCAAATAAAATGCTTTATTGAATACTGAATTCTTCATAATGAAAACCAATTGGATTATCTATATAACACAAGAAACCCACAGAGTTCAGTAGCAAAGCAAGGCAGACAAAGTAGAAGTGTACTCCAGAGTCTCCTTTTGCCACAACCCCCCCCCCAGTTCCAGCGTGCTCCTAAAAGCCCTCCTACTTCAACCTGCTCAGAATCAGACAGCAAAGATTTATTTTCAGGAAACTGTAAAGAATGATGTGATACCTGGGTGTGGGAAGAGAACCTGCTCATGAAAACATAGTAACTACATAGAAGATAAACTATTAGACCAGAAAGGTGATGGGGAGGGGAAGCTTCCTTCATATGCCTTCTTGCTTCAAACACTGTCTTCCAGATTAGTGCTCACTGAGGCTGTCATGTGAAGCTTCTTTTGATCTGGATCAACAGGTTTCTGTAATGAAAATATAACCTCTCTCTCCACACACAAACAGTTCTGCAGGTCTGGTTTATTCACAGTTCTACCAAAGTCAGTATTAGAATACAAGCACCTGCTCTCATCCTGTCCTCAGCTCGCTCAACTGACCTGTGATTTCACAGAGAGTTTATGTAATAATTTGTTTAAAAAAATCTAACCAGATTCCACACCTTCCATTTGCTAAAATGTTACAGTTGAAAATTTGTTTTTTGTTTAAACAAGCCTGAAATCTTTGTAGGAGCCACTTCAATAGGAATAGTACCTGAAGAGATTTTATTGGAAAACCTGGAGCAATTCCTGGACAAACAACGTCTTGCATGGAGGAGCTGTGATATGTCAGTTTTCCCTTTATGTTTAAAATACATCCAGCAGTTCCCCATACTTAACACTTTTTCAGAGTTCAGTAGCAAAGCAAGGCAGACAAAGTAGAAGTGTACTCCAGAGTCTCCTTTTGCCACAACCCCCCCCCCCAGTTCCAGCGTGCTCCTAAAAGCCCTCCTACTTCAACCTGCTCAGAATCAGACAGCAAAGATTTATTTTCAGGAAACTGTAAAGAATGATGTGATACCTGGGTGTGGGAAGAGAACCTGCTCATGAAAACATAGTAACTACATAGAAGATAAACTATTAGACCAGAAAGGTGATGGGGAGGGGAAGCTTCCTTCATATGCCTTCTTGCTTCAAACACTGTCTTCCAGATTAGTGCTCACTGAGGCTGTCATGTGAAGCTTCTTTTGATCTGGATCAACAGGTTTCTGTAATGAAAATATAACCTCTCTCTCCACACACAAACAGTTCTGCAGGTCTGGTTTATTCACAGTTCTACCAAAGTCAGTATTAGAATACAAGCACCTGCTCTCATCCTGTCCTCAGCTCGCTCAACTGACCTGTGATTTCACAGAGAGTTTATGTAATAATTTGTTTAAAAAAATCTAACCAGATTCCACACCTTCCATTTGCTAAAATGTTACAGTTGAAAATTTGTTTTTTGTTTAAACAAGCCTGAAATCTTTGTAGGAGCCACTTCAATAGGAATAGTACCTGAAGAGATTTTATTGGAAAACCTGGAGCAATTCCTGGACAAACAACGTCTTGCATGGAGGAGCTGTGATATGTCAGTTTTCCCTTTATGTTTAAAATACATCCAGCAGTTCCCCATACTTAACACTTTTTTTCCTCAGTTACAACTGGCTGACGTTTCCAATATTAAGATCCAAGAAGTTTCATAGTACTACATAAAACCTACGCAGAATTGTCGGCCCTGGCTGTAAACAAGACCCGCTAGGCAAGAAGTGAAGCCGTTAAGACGGTTCATATGCAAATTCAGTGCAATATGCCCCAAGTGAGGCATTTATGAGGACCTGCAGGGTCCAATCAGAGTAACATGACATTGACACAACGGAAGATGTGATTCTGCAAGTAAGACTAGAGCAAACAAGCATATCTGTATCAGCACAGAAGGAGTGCTTCTTGAGTAAACACGTTAAAAACAACAACAACAAAACCCCCCAAAAAACTGCATCAGCCCCCAGCTACTCCAGAAGAATCATACTTCAGAAATACGCCTTCGGAAGGGAAATAGAAACTTTCCTCCAGTTTCCAAGCTAACTTCCTGATGACAAGCTTACAGATAATTGCTCTAACATTTTTCTTCAGTTAAATCAGGTCTTCTCCATTGCTGGTATTTAGGCAACAATCACTCTTCCCAGCCTTTGGGCAAGGGCAAAAGAGCACTGATAACCTCTTCAGAGTTATGCTGTCTTTCCCCCTGATCTTCCAACAGCCTTTTTTATACCTGTTCCACTTTGAATTAAACCTGAGCATGGACGCGGGAGAAAAGTTATCCTGTGAGCACGCTGCCTCACTACCAGTTCTCAGGGAAGAGTCAGGAGAACGGCATCACGAAAGCCATTTCCTTATTTCTTCAGCCAAAACGTGGTAACTGCTCACATGAAAGCTTCAGTTCATTTCAACATGAAGCAAAATGAGCTAGTTTTAATCATCAATAGGCATACTTAAAATACGCTCACCGGTGAGCGTATCCTGCGTCTCTTCATAGCCGAAGCTCGAAGGCATGTGAACATCTGAACAGAGTTTCAGGACAGGACAACCTTCCATTCACACAAAGCCTGCACTGTGCCTAGGACACCCATTGTAACTGCAGTTGGGCAAAAAATACCACTGAGCCACAATCTACTAAGTATTTCATACTCACTCATGATGATCACTAAAGCTTTGAAGAAGCCTCAGGAACTGTATCTTTAAAGTAATGTCCTAAAAAGAGAGAAGAAAGAGGTTCAAAATTGCTTCAGGATTTTTGGACCTCATTAGTTCCCTAGCACATATGAAACGGCTGAATTGGAAACCTATGCAAATCAAACCCAGCTGAGCAAGTGACTTGCATAAATGCAGAAGGCTGCACTTTGTAGGCATCCATAAAGAGAACACAAGTGGAGCCTGCATGCAAACCTGTGCGTATGACAATCAATAACTGATTATATTCACTCAAAGGCAAAAAAGCTCATTCCTGCACTGATCAGTTTAGAATAATGTTTTATACCTAGGTTTGAAAAACCTGACTGCAACTCGTTTTTATTCTGGCTCTCCTTGCTAGATGCCTTACCTATCATTTCTTTTAAGTTCTGGTCTTCCCCTCCGTTAGGCCTGCAGATATTACAGAAGTGACCCATTTCCCAGTTCCCAAAACTGGGAGAGAAAAGAGAGGCTACATTTCCCACAAATAAACTAGAGTGAACCACAGATAAAGACTTCAGTGAAAACAATTTGCAGCATAAAAACGGAACACTGAATCCTACCACGTCTCGCCGCATGTATGGTCCAGACATTCAGTTACTCAATACAGTTTCTCAGAACGGTATTATAAAGAGAGAGATCGACCAAGATTCCATATAGAATTAATAAAGTTACTCACTGGGCTACAGTCACAATTTTGATTGTGCCCATGCAGAACAAGGGCTGATGCTGAATGCTTCCTCCAGATCAGTTTGTCAAACAAATTATTGAGGCCAGGAATCAGCTTGAACTCTGCTATCATTTTATGAACCTAGAAAAGAAGAGAAGGAAGTTCTCATTTGTTGCAATCTCAAATATGGGTATAACGTAGTCTGGAAAACAAATGGGCATAATTATGTCATTTTCTGACAACGGAAAGAGTAAATTCCTTATCAAACAGCACATGCTTACGTTAGCATGCATACTAAGCACGGCGCATCATTAGAATAGTTTCCATTTGGTGGATACGGATAGAAAACAGACTTTTTGCATTTTTTTTGGAGAAAGCTCTTAGCCAACCCTTGAACCAACACTGAGAGGGGGTCTCATCAATGTGTATAAATATCTGAAGGGAGGGAGCAAGAGGATGAGGCCAGACTATTTTCAGTGGCGCCCAGCGACAGGACAAGAGGGAGCAGGCACAAACTGAACCAGAGGAAGTTCCATCTGAATATGAGGAAAAACTTCTTTCCTGCGAGGGTGACTGAGCACTGGCACAGGTTGCCTAGAGAGGTTGTGGAGCCTCCTTCCGTGGAGATATTCAAAACCCTCCCGAATGCAATCCTAGGCAATGTGCTCTAGAGGACCCTGCTTGAGCAGGGGGGTTGGACTACATGGTCTCTAGAGGTCCCTTCCAACCTCAACCATTCTGTGATTCTGTGAATTAACCGCTGTGCCTCAGGAAGCAGCTTAGGACATCAGGAGATCATTTACAACACATTGAAAATATATCCATACTTAATTTCTGCGTATCACAAAAACTAAACTGTTAACATCCTGCTGCCAGTCTTCCATGGAGCATACTTTGCCTTTCTAGCTCATGCAGCTAATGCTGAGGTAGCTCTTTGAAGACAACGTAAAATATCGATAGCATTTTTGTTCAAATGACCTAGGGCAGGAGTTCTGAGCAGAGTTCAGCCCTAACACAACCCAACTGCAGTTCAATCACCGCTTCTGCAGGTTAACGGAAAGTCAAACTTCTCTAGAGTGCGCTAAGAAGAAAACGCGAAAATACTCAAGTACAGCATCATTACTTTTGATGTAAACAATTTGAAAGGTGAGGAATAGGAGAAATACAAATAGAGACCCTCCCAGTTGGAGACCTATGACATCCAGTACCCCTTGAGACGTAACAGAGTTGAAAATCATGCATGACTGGGAAAGCACAACAACAGGCTTTGTCCCTGCAACGACAAGCTCCCTCGGGTTTCAGGAAACACTCCATTGGAGCAGTCTGCTGAACGTGCTAGTTACTGGTTATATAATAACGTAATAAATAACATAATAAACAAAGTGCCCAAAACAAAACAGGAAGAGGCATATCCCTTAAAGTCAGGTCCTCTAAACACTAACCTAGGCTGCCCCTGCAGGGAATTATAACTCTCAGTATTTTAAGCTGAGCACTATTTTCCTGTTTCCTCAAACACTTTCAGTTGACTCAAGTATTCAAGCCAACAGTATTTTATAGGTTTTTATTTTTACTCTTGTCAGCAGCATAGCTGGTAGTGTTTTGAATTCCTCTCAGCTGCAGCCACTAACTTTCCCCGGATATATAAATCACACTCCCACTGCCGAGCAGCTCTGCGAACATCAAGCCTGAGGCGGCGCACAGCTCCCTCCCACCTCTCTCGTGTTACCCCGACAGACTGCAAAACTTGGAGTCTTCTGTGTTCCCTTACTTTAAAATGCTCTCAAATGCTCTGACCCAGGCACAAGCCTCCAACAGAAATAGCTCTCAGGGATTTGTCCAAACAAAGCACTCCCTGTAGTCTCCGTCCCTCAGCGGCCAGCGTGGCACAGGCACAACAGGATGAAACCAGGCGTGTGAGCTGCCTGTGAGCGCTCTGGCTCCCTCACGAAAGCGGCTCTCTGCGCTCATTGTTTCATCTCAGGAATCTGCTTGCCACACAGAACGCAACCTGCTTGTCCCGGATGATGTCCCCCCAGTTTCAAATGCGTTCAGCCTACCTTTAGCTTGCTGAACTCAAAGTCCTCACCTGACTCCTGCACGACAGAGTTCCTGAGTCAGAGTCATTGGTTTTGGATCACGCTCCCTCCCAAATCCCCAACTCATTACAACAGTCCTTCAAAGGCCTTCGACTTTTCCCTGTTGCTATCAGCTTCACATGAATTGCTCTACTGCTTTCTCACTACTAAAGCTATTATACCTCCTTCTACGGCGTGCAGTTTGGCTCCCTATAGCAGGAGCAGGTAAAACAACTGATCGTCTCTCACCACACCAGGCAAATACAAGTCACCCTAGAGAAATAGGTATGAGAGGAGTAGCTTGGAGCGTGACCGTAATGAGATAGAAGCAAAGGCAAGGATCCGTGGTGAAACATCACTTGTCCCCAAGGCTGCGATCATCCATAAAGTGGCAGCAGGTAGGAGTCAAGTCACTGCTAACACAGTTTTCAATCTGTGTAAGTTAGCCAGCAGTCAAGTTTAAACCAAGGATTTAGAGTAAGCACTCAGGAACAGGTTCAGCTTGTTAAGAAGTTGGATCGTGCTTCAAGCAAGCACCAGATCATTATGTTGTTTTATCATGGGACAGTGGACTGAAGACGGTTGTGACATCCTTTTGATATTGGAATAATTTTGAGTGGAATTTCTAACTAATAAGACCTTTCACTGCCTAAAGAGGAAGACTCGTGTCACAGGGCCAGCACTTCTATCCCCTCACGGAACAGAGGCACCACCATGTAGCAGAAATGTTAGCCAGTTAGAGTGCTAACGCAGACACCGCTGTTTCCTGTCTATTTGGAGCTTTCCATATACAACGATTTACTTCTGAACAGCTCAGTTCTAGGTCTTAATCTGACTTCCTCTCAAAAAGTGCCATGGTTTACATCCATCAGACAGCTTCTTGAAAGCTCTATGTAGATTAAGTAATGCTGGATATATCATGGGATAAAGGTTTGTCTTATTTTTTTTTTTTTTTTTGGTAAAAAAGGACCTGGCTCTTGACACAAAGTGGTTGGACTTAAGAAACCTAAATTGTGCAAAATTCACTTCCAGTCCCAAATCAGCTCCAGGAAAAATTTCCTGCCTGCCTGCTTTACCCTATGACAAACAGTTTCTCTGTTTGCATGGGGGCAGGAATGACAGAGGAAGAACAAGGAGTTTTCTTCCTAGCATATAAAAGAAGTTAGTTTCAAAGCCAGCTATTTCTGCAGCGTACTTGCTATTTTGCCACATTTGATGATAACACACTAAAACTGAGCCACAGAGATACCAAAGCTAACATTGCCAGCTCCCTAAATAGGTAGCAGTGGCATGAGCGCAAGTTGGAAGCAGCTTTTGCAGCATCTATAAAACTGCATTCTTGTGGTGAAATTAGGCAGGGATGCATTATCTGACTTGAAACAATGCAAAATATCAGTCCTCTTAACAGATCTGTGTTCTGGTAGCTGCACTTACGTCTTGGGCATTCCCTCTGCCTGTCCAAGCAGAGTCACCAGTGCACAGGGGAGGAGGAAGAATGCCCCAGCAGGCAGCTCAAGTAGCACCTAGGTACATCCACATGCTTCCTTACATGCAGGTAGAGGATGCTTCCTGGATGAGATGTTCCTGGCACTTGCTGCTGCAGATCAGGACAGGTTGTGGCCGCTTCAACATATGTATCCGATTACAGCCTGCCGTTTAGCCTTTGTTGTTCTGCATCCATCCTGCACTAGAGAGGCGGCTCTGCAAAGACTGGCCACCCCACCCCTACGCTGCTCAGCACAACTTGTGACAAGCCTGACCCAACGGCTCATTCTGGTTCTCAGCAACAAAACACTGCTTGTTTGTTTGCGCATTGCTGCAATGATGGGATTCGCCCAGCTTTATGCCTTGAGCTTTGCTCTTCACATTCCCGCATCTAATTAATTGAGCATCTAGGTTTAAAAAGACATCAACTTACGCATGTGTGACCATTTGCAAATGCTTACCTGATTTCTTTGTCTCCCCATGAGTAATACACAGAGAACATACAACACTTCCAGCTTATACATAATCTCATGCATGATCTTCATGGACTGCGGAAGCTGCGTTCGTGTTGAGGTGTTGGCCAATCCACTTTCATCTGAAGACTCTGAACAAGATGGCAAAGATGTGAGCCTGAGACGGTTCCAACAGGAAAGGATTTGTTACAGTTACTTTTACATTCAAACAGTGCAGATGTAGGCCCAGGGCATCTGCTTAAATCCTCTTCTCACCAAAAATTAGTGGCACACAATAAATAACCAGTTTAAGTTAAACACAAGAGAAGAAAAACATAGCCGGAAATTTAGGTCAGATGAAATTTCATTTTTAACAAAGTAATTTTTCCATAGTAAGCTAAATGTTATTTGCTACATGAAATAAGTAGGATTATCTACATGAATTAAGAGACTAATGTACCAAAAAGGGCATAGCAGAAAAGGTAATACAAATAGGAGTGGGTTTATCAGAAGCATTTGTTATTGCCCTACTTCCCTTTCACATCTCAATACCAGCGTACTTAGGCCACAGTTAAATAATTTTCATAACTCTATTCTAGAATTATACTGCTACCAGCAGAAACAGGATATAACATGCCATGACTGCAAGTGGAAAACATGACAGAAATCATGACCGACAGAAAGTAAACAGGACTTAGGGAAACTTGCGGGTGGCAGTTCAAAAGAGGGAGTTAGCACTTTACACAGTACCTAAGCTGTGAAATGCCTTGGCATAGCATAGCGTGAACGTGTTTTGAACCCACGTGAAGAAACAGTAACTAGGCATACACATGAAGGGACGGGGGGAGGAAAAAAAAGATAGACTTCCAAACTAAAAACAGATGCCACCTTTGACTCAGAAGTCCCTAAGCCACAAGCCACTAGAGACTGAGATGGTATTCTGAGAAAGTACATCTGTATATTTGCCTGGTAACTGATGTTGTGGGTCAAGAGCGGTCACCAAGCATATTCCACCTCTGAGAGCGCTCTTGTGAATTCTGTTTCATAGTACTATCTGTTTTCCAGTTTCTACTAACTTCCAATAATTAATTGCTATAAAACTGATGAAGCTGGATAATGCGGAAAGTTTTCTAGAGAAGCACAGAAGTAAAAGATTTAGATGCCAAAATTGTGGAGTAATTCTCATTCCGCTACAGATATTTTGGGTTAAATAAGGCATGCGTTACATCTTTGTACTACTGAAGGGTGAAGAAACAAAACCAGCTGTTTAGTTCAAAGCAGCTTCCTAAGGCTGTATCAACTCTTCCACATGCTCCTATGGAACAGTATATTTTTCCCCAATTAGCTTACTTAATTTTGCTATAACTACCTGCCTTTTCAAGGCAGGTAGTTATTAATTCCAGCACCCTCAGTCTTAGAGCAAAATGATGGTAAAGTAACTTATCTCATAAGTTTTGTTTTCCTCTCTGTCCCAGGGAGATCAGTTCTGAGCATGTACAGCATTACAGTAAGTGTTACTTAGGTGTGAAAAGAGCACAGTTGCTCTTGGATATTTCTTTCCCTTTTGTTAACTTTAGCTCATGAAAATGAATCAGTGCTACACAAGAATAAAACAGGAGTCAGACCTAAATGCTGATATGGTGATCTTTTGTGCAAGAGAAGGGATCAATACAGGGAGGAAGGAAAAGTAAATTGCGGTAGATACCAAAGTAGTAAAATAAGAATTAGTTAATGGTGGCCAGAGGAACGGATACCTGTGCTGCTCTGCTCTGCCTCTTCGTTTGCCACTCTCATCAGTGCATCAAGTACAAGGGCGTTGTCCAGCCAGGTGTACCATTCTTCTAACTCCTGAAGGAAGCTGGAAGTACCCGTTGTTTCAGACACCTTTCGTGTTGCCAGTTTGCATAATCGCTCAATGAAGCCCGGAATACTCAAAAGTGTAGCTGAAAAATAGTTTTATTATGACTTAAGACCACCAACACAACAGTCATCAAATCCTCTACACTACAAGGTCCCCAAACCTCTGTATCAGTAGCACAGAACAGTACACAGAAGCAAATTCCTTCTGGTTTAAAAGATCCAGCAGAGATTGAAGAAGTCAGTCCACTCGCCCCAGCAAGGACTGGAACACAGCGTACATGCTCGAGGCGTTATTCAGTGGAACGCTAAACTGGTCTATGTTGGACTGACAATGGAACGAAAACACTCCTTTCCTACGGTAGCTACTTGTTTATGGTTGATTCCCCTTTGCTCGCCTGCTGTTTTCCAGCCCATAATGAGTCAGATCAAGGAATCGATCTGGCTGAAAATTGAGCGGGCAGAAATAAGTCGCAGCCCTTGGAAGGGGCAGCTCCATTTCTCCCTTCCTCTCCTTGGGATGCCACCTCCTTAATTTTACCTCAGAGATGTCTGTCTTACAGCAAAGCAAACTAGCTCACCTCAGCAACTGGGCTGAAAGCTGTTAGCTGCTTTCAAGTATTAGTTTCCTTAACTAGTTCATCACAGAACAAAACAGCTGGGGAACAGATCACGGCAGCTCCAAATTAGAAGGCTTTAATTGTCGTGGAACTGCACACTAAGACATAGCAGTTCAAGGAGAGAGGTCACCAGTATGCAAAATCTTGAGGGGCGAAAAGGCACCAGGAGCTGCATTTTGTCCTGAACTCTTCACAGAACGACTTCGTTACTGGAGCTATTTGTGAAGCTTTAACCATGAATCTGTAATACTTACATATACAGTAAAAGGACAAAGAATTTAGCCAGGAACACTCTGTGAAAGTGTTTCTGCCACAATTCTGCCACTGGTATCATCTCAATTAGAATATACAACCCGGTAAAGATTTTGAAATGCAATATGCTTTATAGTCTTAGATATAATCTCTGATTGTGCAAACAAAAAATGATTAGTTAAATATTTGCTTGGCTTAGTTCAGCCCTGCAGGATCCAAACTTATTCATTTCAACTAATTTAAATTAAACTTTGTACCTGCACCTACATACTCCACTGCGCTTTACAATCACAGGCTAGAAAACAGTACACCCCCTGCTTTAAAGTTTCCCAGCATTTGCTTGCTGTACTATGCTATCCATCTCTCACTGGATGATCTACAGATGACACCTGTTACAAATAGAGCTTCACTGTTCATGGCTCATGCAGGACGTGGCACTATGACTGTCAGAAGACACGCAAGAAAGCTCCAAATACCCTTTCTGCATTTTCTGAAACTGTTTGACCAGGGCCTACGTAAACATCGAGAAGCTAAAACAAAGCTCCTACTCAGCTTTGACTCTGAAGCTGAAAAGCCTTTGAGCTTCATAAGAGCTGAAACCAGCAGGTTCTACCTTTGATGGTACAAACTTAAAACTATTGCATCCAAGAAATACTTGGCAAAATAAGAAAATCTGTACTGTGCCCAAAGTTAGATTAGACCCACAGATTTCCAAGGTTAACTCCCCAGCCAACAGTACGTATAAAACAAGGTGACCAACTTCCATACACCGATGTGGCAAGGGTAGGCAATATGGCTAACATCAAATACTCTTTCCTTGTTGATAAAGGCAACATCCTGCTCGTGACAATGCCAGATAAAATCAGAAAAGGAACTGCTCGGACAATAACCATGTCGCATGCAGTTTTAGTTCAGGAATCCATGCATCACGGAGGTTATGGAATTACTGAGAGATGCAAAAGGGACAGTCATGGAAGCGACAGAGATTATTTTAACTGATTCTGTTGATCAAAGAGGGCTGACGTGACAGAAAATAACTCACCTAATTACTGACAGCATATGAAACCAAAGGTTTCATTAACAGGAAAAACAGTTTCTAGGAAATTGTTCCAGGAAACTGAATAAAGATACATGCATCATAAGGCAAAACGCTTGCAGTATCCTCTAAAAGCATACTCTACAGATGTCAGGTTGAGAGGAGGGAATGAAGTTTTACAGATTGTTTTGATTCTTCTACATTTGTTCAGTGAAATAATTACCTTGATTAATTTCAGCACGAGAAGGACCCAAGTTTTTTTTCTGCTGTGCATTTTTGGCAAGAAGGGTGTGCTTGTCATCACTTCCTGTGTCAAGTTCGGAAATTGTGACAGCAAGGATCCTGCAGAAGTTCGCAAGTTGCTGCTGATCAAAACTGGACACAAGGCTTGAAAGATTGGGAATATCATCCAGTTGTATCATTTCCTGGTGGAAGCAACATAATCTACTGTTTGAGAGTAAATCACACATAATGCTCAGTAACGGAAAACATCCAAAGATGCAGAAGGCCAGAGGGTTTTAGCTGCAGATCTGCCCTGGTGAGATACGTGTGCTATTTCAACGTTAGCAGGAGAGAAGTAAACAGGCAACAAGTGAGGAGTCTGAAAACTCCTGTGAATTTACAACTGATGCCACTTATATGTATCAGCTTAAGTAGCAAAAAAAAAGTCATCTTTTAAAGACTTTTAAAGGACTCTGTATATAAGAAATTATGAGGGACTTTTTTTTTTTTTTAAATGCAACAGACTAATTGCATTCAGGTATTACGAAGTTTCATTATTTTGTTTTCCACTTCTGCCTGTATTCTCTTTGAAGCTTACAGAGAGCAGAGCAGACTGCTGGACTTTTTTCACGCACTGATTTTCATCCAAAAATATTAAAAAGATGTTGAAGCCAGTTTTCAGCAAAAAGGCATATGTTCGGATAAACTAAGCTTGTTTCTTACCTCAGCAAGTACAACATCCTCAACTTTCTTCTCAAAAATAGTAATAAGCTACAGGACGCTCACCCTCTCACAGAACGTACACAGATACATTTAATCCATGGTTTTCCCATGGTTACACCTCTAATATTTTATTTGCCCTTCAGGACTCTAAGATGTAATGACAGGGTATTTCACAGTCTGACAAACATTTCAGTGCAAGTTCAAAAACACAGTTTGTGCAGAAGACCTAAATGCCCTGTTTCCTCCAGCTTACAGAATACAACATCAAGTGTCTGAACTGTGATTAAAGTTACTGATCAATCTAAACAGTCAAGTTTCAAACAAGCTACAAGAAAGAAGAATGATAGCTCAGGGCATTATTTTCACCAACCGTTCATAGATAAAGCTGTATTTCTTCCACTGGCCTGAAAAAGTCACATAAATAAATTTAAGAAACCAGTCACAAACCTTTTTAACTCCCAGGATATCTTCAATGAGTGTTGCAGTTTGTAGGAATGTCTTTTTGTTTGTCATCAGTGTAAAGAGGAACAACACAAAGTCATTTCTTTCTGCCAATCGCCTTGTGACTCCTTCCGTCTAGAAAGAAGCGAGAATCACACACACACACACACGCAGCAGGTGGGTGCAGAACAGTTTCACAGATGATGCGTTATCTAATCAGCTGTTCCTGAGACCGGAAAACATGGTGTTTCTAGAGACCAAAACTAACTCCAATCCCTGTTTGAAGTTAACCATGAGGCCTGCAGGAGCACCAGGCAGGCACCAGTATGAGAGGCTTCATCTAAATGCAGAGTTGTTTACTTGCCTGAAACAAGTAAATACTGCATGCCTGAAAATTCATCAGGGAGGCTTGCTTCCTGTTTCTCATACAAATTATGACCAGTTCCATTTTACGATGGTTAAATTCAGTCCCCAGATTCCTCCTAAACTGTTAGCACTGCTCTCAGCTGGGCAGCGTCTGAGCAACCAGAATCAAGTGCTGGCCTTCATTTACGTCAGTAACGAACCTAAAAGTCACGACGGCAGGGCAACCTTCCATGCTCTCCTCTCGGCTGAGAGCTTGGGCAGTTCTTTCTGGAATTAATCGCAACTGCTTGCAAAGCTGTCTATTATATGACTGACGTTTTACTCGTGCTCACAGAGCAGTAGTCAAACTTAGATCCTTCCTGAACATTCAAACACAAGCATAAGAACAGTTAATGTGGACACAGAACACTTCTGTAATCCTGAACACATCTCATTCAAGGGAGAGCGCTATTTCTAAAGTGATTTAAGTCAAACAGCAGCTAGTCCATAAATTGCAAACTCGTTCATTAACGTATTATACTAATCAAAGTCTGCATTGCCTCTAGTTTAAAAAACAACAACAAAAAATACTTAAGAAATCAAGTAAAAGGTGTTCCTTCTCTTATCCTCCCCATCTATAGATGGATACCTATTACCGAGAACACGATCTATTCACACTCACACACTCAAGATAAGGTTGATTTTTTGAAACAGCTCCAAGCCACTAATTACTTTTTGTTGTTGTTGTTAAACAATGCTCCCTAGGTAATGACATAAACTGTATGATTAAGTAAACAGTCTAGAGGTTGTTCTTTGTATGCATAATCTGAGGCATGTACTTTCAGCCTCAGAATTTTAAAGGAGCGCTACCTCAATAGGCCTTTAGGCCCAGGACCTTTCCTCAGCGCTGGCTTGCCATCAATTGATTACCGAACTGATACTCGGCACATGAAGTATTTGCAGGATGAAACTTAAAACACTTTTAACAGCACCGTTATTGAACAAGCCAGGCGGAGCTGCAGCTTGGGGTAGACTGTGGGCACACATTTCCATGCCAATTAAGTTTCAATAAAATAAAACATTAAACAACTTTCCTGTGGGAACCTAGATACGCAAAGAGCCAAACAAGAGGCAGAATTACTTAAGCCTGACAATATGCCTTAAAAACGCAAATTATTTGAGTAGCACCCCAAAATACAGAGTGGTTCTATATTTAACCAAAAGAATTTTAATGTAAAGTTTGAGAGTGAGTTTAAATTATGCTTAAAAGAATCTATGTTATCTTATCAATTGGCACATGTAAAACTGACCAGCAGAGGCACTGGTCAAGCAGAAGAACACTTTTCCATAGTAGTTGTACTTACACATATGCACGTGTTGTACAGTATGCTTAAACAGTCTTTGATGAGGTCATCACTTACTGCAAAGGAAAAAACAGGCATCCATTAGCCATAATGTGCCAAAGAACACTAACATCGGCTTTAGTGACATAAACAGCTACAGAATCAGTGAGAATTTCAGGCAAACTGCTAGGTTAAAGCAGTGAGGATTTCAGGCTAACTGTTAGCTCAGATCACATCTGCAGATACCTTAAAGGATAAAAAAACAAAGGAAGAATCACTCTATACCTGCCCTATTCACAAGTTTTTTTTCCAAAAGCACCTCTATCACAACCGCCTAGAACTGCAGACAGAGATGTACTTGTGGCCTAACGCACTTAGTCATATGTAAAAGAAAAAGATAAAGGTGCAAACAGTATTTTAGGAAAAAAAAAAACCCACAGATCAACTCAAAAAGCTTTTCAACATGAGAAACTGCTGGGCGACATATTAGTTCCAAATACTGAACATGGAAAAATAAATCTTTACTCTATGCAGTTTTCTCCAGGCAGCATCAGGAATTGATGGAAAAGCTGTCATCTTGATTTACTCCAGCGTTTTCATATTTAAAATGCAGTTTCAGTACAGACAGAACATACAAGCACCTCTAGCCCAAGTTCAAGTTACTCTACCTTTCAAGTTACCCACCTGAAGGGCATAGAGCGTACCATAACGTTTGCCTTCCTCATAAAGGTTGTAGGCAATCAGCAGAATCACAGACAAGAGAAATGAAAATACTAAACCAAAGCTGTTCCAGAAGGAAAGCTGCACTGAAGCAAATGCTCCCCATTAGCAAGTTTTCCTTGTAACAATTTAGATATTAATCATCACTGTGACTAGCTCAGGAAGACAGCATACTTTTTATTATTTCACAGTCTCTACCACTCCTGATACGTTAACAGTGTTTCACTGCTTACTGCTAGTAATTGTTAAGAGTAGCTATACTCCCAGTAGCAACATTCCAGTGACTGTAGATTTACTGCACTGAGAAAAATACACTGTGCTGAGAGCATGAGCTGCACTCTGTAACGGGTGACTATCCCAAATCCCATCATGAATCAGTACTGCAGAAAATAAAGAAACCAATGATTTGTTTAAGAACAGGAAAATGCTGGTATAGAAAGCAAAGAATAGCAGAAAAATAGAATAACCCCTGTCTGAAGAACAACACAAGGCAAGAATGAAAACAAGTAAAACATCTATTCACTTACTTTTCTGTTTCTTTTTCTGTGTAATAAGAGTTGGTCTCATGAGAATTTCCACTAAAAGCTGTAATAACAAGGTAAAGAATTAAGGGAAGAATCAGTGTGACTAATAACCTGTTAACTTGACAGTGAAAAATCCAAACTTAGTCCAATCTCTGCTGAAATCACTGGAATAAATGATGGAAGCTCTACAATCAAAAACCCACTGGTATAAAAATTACATTGATAAAAGTATTTATCCAGGAGAAAGCATAACATTTGTAGGCAACAGTCTCCACTGGCAAGTTTTTAAGGACTTGAGTCTGCAGAGAATATAATTTCCCATGTGTCTAGACAACATCATCATCATCAAGGATGACTATTACATCCCCCAAGCTCGTGAATCTTCAGCAATAATCTGCAGAGAGACATAAACTTTCGCAAAATCGTCCTAAATCCTGCTGGGCTTCAAAACATACTTCAGGTCCAGACATAACAGAGCTTAGTTGCTCCAGATTTTAATCTCACCAACAAAGGGCGAAACATTGTTTGTGTACATGCATATTATATGCATACTTGTATACACATTTACAGATACATGAAGTGTTAACTCATTTCTTTTTAAGAAATGCAGCAGCCAGCCCCCCCAACCTAGGCCAACTGTTCCAAAAGATTTAGAAATGACCTTTACTTGTTCTAGCCTATACCACAGTAGTCTTCATACCCATTTAAAAGTGGTAGCTAGTCACTAGAAGGAACTGATGATTCTAGAGGCATTTAAAAAAAGCCCCTAGTTTAAAATTCTACTGTTAAACAGTTAAAACAGTGTAAAGAACTCGCTCACTTCCAAATCATGCCAACTGACAATATAATCGCATTTTACACCTAGTTTTCCATATTCTTTCCCAACTTGGCTTTACCCTTCTTTTAATGAACGACCCACCCAGGCACAGAGGAAAACATATACAATACTGGAGACACTGCTTACATTTTAAACACTGTCAATTGCACAAAATGCGCAACTTGAAAGATAAAGACACATTTTTCAGTAATATTATAGTACTTGTAAAATCAGCAGGGTAGAGAAAATGACTGCAGCACTAGTATAGTGCTCACATTAATAGCTTAAGTTTCAGGAGGAGAATGCGTATCTCAAGTCTAGGTACCCAAGATACGCACCCAGAACACCATAGATGCGCTTGGGATGTAGGCCACCTGCACTTTCCCTAGGGAAGACACCTACCGGAACAAGTCTGGCTTTTCAGGGTGGCAGTAGCTGCAACGATGTCTTCTGCTCTGCCACGGAGCACACCTTTTATGCAACTACTTGGTATATATTCTTTTTGGTCAATACTATAAACAGCTTGCATTTATCATCTTATACTTGCAGAACTGGTATTCATACTTCTCATATATTCCCAGAGACTGGACTGCAGTGCTGTAAGACATTCCTAGCAGGTGGCTTTTTTCAGCCCTCCTACCAAAACCGCGACAGTATTGCAGCAAGAAATGCACAAGTCCAAAGGTAGAAAAAGAACAGGAAAGGGGGTGCCCCACTTACCAGAAGGAGCACAAAGGGAGTTAACAGATCTTATTTCTTGGAATAGGTCAGCACTCACAATCAAAAGTCCATGAGGTTCATGGACCAGATCACGCATTTGTACTGTTAAGCAATATTTTATACGTACTCAGAAAACGGAGAATAGACAAACCTGCTTTTGCTCTTCCTTGATGTAAAGGAAGAATCCGTCTGAATCCGAAAAGATTCAGATATTTTAAAGAATATACTATCGTACATTATAGCGTATGGAGTACACGGCAAATTCACTGTCCTTCAAATCACTACTGCTTCACAGCTTGACATACTGCAACATGGAATCAGTAGGTGGCATTTACAGAACTAGCAGATTAGACTACTTGTGTTTCCAGTCCTAGAGTAGGATTTTCAAAAAACACCTAGCACTGACTTAAATACTGTCCCAAAATTAAGTTCTACCACTGCCTTTAATAATATTAAACCCACTTGTATCAGCCAAATCTCTGGCTATAGTACCAGGTAATTAAGAACAGGGACATCTGAAATTTCAAAAGCTTGGGAGAAAACAGCTTGTTCTGTTTCTCATGTCACCTTAATAGTCTCTAATCTGAAAAAAATGAAAAAATTCAAAACATTTATTTAAATATGAAACAAAGTAATGTTCTGTGCATTCTTACGGGAAAAGCACCTCCCCAGGAAGCATCACTATTTCCGTTTAAAAATAAAAAGTATTATTTTAAGCATGTTCTAAATCGCTTGGGTAGCTGAAGATTTTGTCCTCAATTAATGGGACGCCAGCAACTAAATCAGTGTTCATTTCAAAACAACATGCTCTAAATACAAGTTTTATTCAGATAAACTAAATGCTACAAGATGGAAGCAGGGAAGAGAGTGATGTACAGCTGGACAAAAGGATTTAGCCATTTAGTCCATTAAAAAACACAAATCATACGTTCCTAACGAAAGTCAAGATCTCAGGGTCTGTCATCATAAAATTGAGCTAATATGTGTATTTGTGCAACACAGAATTAAAATAAACAAAAAGATAAAATGCCAGCATATAAACGTAGCAGTTGTTTAAAAACACTTCCATAGATAAGGTAGTGCATCGTGCGTGCCAACGATAAACACAGTTTTGCTAAGAGAGTACCTTGCTGCATTAGTTTGTTCAAAACACACAAATCCTTCTGTGGAAGTGAAATTCTCAGCGCTCTTGTACTGCATCTAGTATTTAACCACACAGCTAGAAACCATTTGAAGCCGTTTTCACTGAGAAACTAAACGTCTCGCTTTTAAGTTACAAGTAGACTACATGAAGAAATAACCAGGTCTTTTATATGTTATAGGAAAAGAAAAATAAAATATTGCTTTTGATGACGTAATACCTTGGAAAATATACCTTTTTCACATTCTGATTAACAGAAGGATGCACATTTGTAATAGATAACATCAAATCAGTAAAACAAGTCTGTAGCTTGCATTTCAAAGCTTCAAGAGTTTCAAACACCTTTACAGACTGCTCAATGGTATAACCGTAACGCAGAAACTTTTTAGGTATCTTTGGAAGGAAAAAAAAAAAAAAAAACTCAAAACCAGAACACACACACACACTTACATCAACTCCTCCAAATAAGTCAAACGTGTACGTGTTTGGGAAAGTGGATTCTTGAGCAGCTTTTCTATCTTCTGTGACAAATGCCATGGCTTCCATTGAAAGAAGTGGAGAAATTTCCTGCATGTAGTAAAGACACAAGTTTTTAAAAGAAAACTATTCCTCATTATAAACACAACTGTTTCAGACTATTCGTGTGACCTAGTAACTACTCAATTACATGCATTCCAAGCTCTTTTCTACATCCAATTCACAGATACTGCCATGCAGTTTCAAAAATTTCAGTTAGAATATGATCACATCAGCCTATACAAAAAGTAACAATAAAACCCTTTGCTTCCAGCAACAACAGCGTACACAGTACCTTAAGGATGCTTTGGCACTGGGAGAAGTCACTGTTTGGGTGGCTTTGCTCATACAACTTTTGCAATAGTAAGGGAATCCCATTCCATTTTGCTTGTTTATCTCTTTCCTTTAACAAGGCCTCTGTGATCTGCAACAAAAGAATACAATATGTTCGCGCCCAGTGTTTCACACCCAAGAATACCACCTCATAAATCATCACCTCCTCAAAATACCAGTATTGGAACACTACAGAAAAATACTTTATTGGAGACAACAGCATTATAAAATCTAGTACCTTTTCAATGTGGCAATTTATCCAGGAGCGGTAGCTGCATAATCTTACAGATGGACAAAGGATCTGAAGCAGGACAAGCTCTTAGAGCAGAGGTATCATTTAGAGTACTTAATCTCATTCCGTAATTTTACACTGACCATATATTTTTAATGGGACCAAATTAGTCTCTAAACACTTTCATCAGTAAAACTGTGATTTACACGTCACTGAAGGAGGAAATGGGTGACTATCAAGAATTACACCAGCCTGAAGTAGAGAGAATACTGAAGACAAAAAGACTTCACTACATGCAGCCAGTAATGAACATTTCCCCAGACAAGTCTCTGAAACTGTTACTGGCCTCAGCAATGGCCCAAAGCACTAAGACTTACAAGCATGCTCTAGCAGAATATGTCAACAATACAGTGCAAGTTTCCTCTGTAGTCTTGGCTGGTTATATATGGAAACTGACAACTAAATCAGCAGGAAAAGAACACTAGCATTATCATCTGTGAAGCTGCCTGCAATCACACTCACATGCACACACCAAATTCAGCACCTGTGAAAAAGTTTTTGCAAATCTCCAGTTCTCCTCCTCCTCCCCAAAATATATAAAAAAAAATCCTCTCAGTATTAACCACAATATTTTATATTTGAAAAAATCAGGTAGCAGCACAGGACTAATGAACACTCTGCTTAGAGCGTCCAAGAATCCCTGAGAGGCATTCTGAAATCCGAGCATTTCCAGGATGCTTCCAGCAGACGCTGGCTGTAAAGGAGGAGGTCTTCAATGAAGTTCATCAGCTACTTAAAGGTGACCAAAATTTAATCCTCCTCTTTCACACTGCATCTTCATTAAAGGTACCTCGATCAACTCTGAAATGGAGGTTTATTCTTGTACAGAACGGTAAGATGACAATAATTACAGCTAGCAAGATTTCTGGTGGGTTTTGTATGCCTTCAACGCAAACAAACAAACAAAAAAAACGACCCCAAAACAGTCCATAGTCAAGCAAGACTGCAACTCAGGTTGAAATTTGTGGATTTTCTCTTACTCCTAGACTTAAACATCTAAGCTGCTCTCGAGTATCAATCACTTCCCTAACCTTTCTCTGGTTAACTTGCATTGTTTCTTGTGCAGCCTGCTTAAACGCTCATTGTTAATAGTTAACATCCAGGAAATCTTGCTTCTTACTGTTTCAATCAAGGCATCCTTCTCAGCTATACAGCACTGTACAATTCCAAAGGGTCATTCAATTCTTGGTTAGATAATTATATGCAAATATACTCCAATCGCTGACTGAGCATTTAACCCTTTCTCTCTGACTGTAAGACTGCATACAAGATCGCAACACTGACGCTCGCACATAAAAAGCTCGGACTGGCAATATTAGCTCGTACATGTCTTCTCTCATCTTCCCAGCTTCCCAGACACTTGGAGCTCCTTTCCTGACGAAATACCCACAGCCGTTCAAAAGATTTGCATTTTACTTAAAAACTTCAAGACTCTGAAGTATCAGTTTTTCTTACTGCAAGGAGTAACTGAGAGCAGTATGAACAAACTTCAGACAACTTCTCTAATTTTATTTTATTTTTTCCTGGTTTCCTACTTCTGAGTGAGAGTAATCAACCAGCACCACTGGTGAATGACACAGAATTCTTTCTAAGGAGACTCATCCTCATAAGAAAGGCCAGAATAGAACCAGAAAGTCAAAATGGCCTCTCATCGTTTGGACCGTGAATGACGCGACAGTTCCTTTCAAGCCAGAAATTTCTACTTCCCACTGTAATACCCGGCACAGAAAGAGCAAAAGGAAGCCTACCGCTACGTCACCTCCGGTGTGGGAGGGGTACAGAACCCCACGAGCTGCAGGAGGAACAAGATTAATTGCTGGGTAAAGTGCAAAGAACGCACAGCAAAATGCCAGGGAAAGAGTCAAACCACCCGGTTCCAACTGATGTGAAAGATACCACATGCAAAGATGACGTGCGTGGACTGCAGTCTGAGTTTTCAGCAGCACAGCTCAGAATTCAGTACCCAATTGCTCTCCGATGAGGCCAAACGCCCTTTATCACTGTTAAAATCTTGTTTGGGCTTAACGCTGCATTTGTTAATCATATCTACGCTTTCGGGGTTGGAGCAGGGTCCATCTCCTTTCTCATTTCTGTATTATCAGGTCTTCCTCTTACTTCCTCAAACTCTTGAGATTATGTCACTCGCGCTGATCTGCAGAAAACTTTCAGAACTCAGATTCTGAAAGACTGAAGCAAATGCTTCCTTGCTCTCATCTTCTTGCAACTGCTTTCAAAAAAGCTTCTCTCGCTCTCTCTCTTGATTCAATACATGCCTTTGGTTTCATTTCTAGCTCTAGTTTGTGGTCCCTGCTCTGTACTTAGGAGGCTACTCTGGCTCTGAATATTTCCACTGTGGTGGGGATGGTATTTGCCAATGCAAAGATTTTGGATTCTGTCAAGGGATTCAAATCCAATTAAATTCTATGGAGCTGTCTTTGCAATCATTTTGGGTTTAAATCAGTATCTCGTGATTCCGGTAATAGCAGCTAGTTAATAGTTTTCATACACAGCAAAGTTAATTCCTTTCTTGCTCTTTTTAAGCAGACATTAGCGAACAGTCATCGAAATTAGCGCTGGGCCTTTGCAGGCCCCCTCCCTTCTCCAATATGTATTTATTTTGTCTCACCCAAGTGAGATCAATCCAAACCAACAACAATTTCTCAGAGCTTTTCTTCACTTACTGAATGGCTCTGGATAAAACCTCTGGATTTAAGAGGCCATCTAACAGCCATTCAAGGAGAAGGGGAGGTCGCAGTCAGCTGGGAATGGCATCAAGTAAAACAAAAGGTCTACCTAACCAATGGCTGTAGGGGTTACGAACTGTCAGGCCTTACTCGCATTAAAAAGACAAGACAAAGGAGTAAGTAACAATTACCAGGAACACTGAAGAAGCATCAAAATCTCCCTGCCACTCAGAGTTAACTGCACTGGTACAAAGAGCAAGACATTACACAGTCACTTCTTAGTAATTTGCCTGAACAATTCCAAGGTTTGAATCAGAAACCAAGAAATGTCGGAGATGGCATGTTATGGCTCTCCCGTGCATGCTATACTCTGAAACAAGTAAGCACATACTAGCTCAACTCCATGCACAGAGCTCTCAAACTACCTAAAATACAGTCAAAAAAAGGTCTTTACTAAGGCCAATTTCACATTGGCACTTTACTGAATGCTGTTCACCAGTCAAGCCTAACCAGATATTAGTCATCTCCCCCTCCTTCAATTGTGCTATTGAAGCTCTGTCAGCATGGTTTTGCTGGAAGGGCAGACTTTTGAGAGGATTAGAGAAGAGAGCTCAAGTGTGTCATCAAGCCCGTCCCACGTAGAAAACAATGGTTTTCTCTTCAAAGTCTCCCAAGTCTCTCTCACTGCTCACTATAGGAGAGCACTTTAACGTAGTGTTTTCTGAGAAGCTGGTCTTTCAAAAAGAAAAAATATGAACTCAGGTGCCAAGCACCCTTCACATCACTAAAGGATTCATCTCGTGATAGGCTTTACAACTATAACACATCAGTTGCAATTTTTTTAAATTCAAGTTTTTTATTGCAATCAAGCATTAAGCTAAGAGTAGAAGCCCTTTAAGAAAAAACAGCTTCCATTCGCAATATGTTTCACGATCACTTTTCAAATATATATTCAAATGTTCTGAAAGTTTAAGAAGAAAAAAGAGAGGCACAGGATTACGGTTCTCAAGGAACAGATGCAAAGCACGTGTTCTCTCTAGATACTCTTAATGAAATCAAAGCCCTTCCGTATCCTTTCCTTCAAATCTTTTAGCCTGCACCTTTAAAACAAGAAACTGTAATATCTGTGCAATTAAATACTTAATTTTCCCGGGAACAGTAATAACTTAGGAAGTAGTCCTTTGACACACTGGCAGAATGATTATTCGGTATTTTGGGGGTATGTCCAGTCATTTCAGTTCATTTTTGCATTTTCCTTTTCAGGCACTAATGAACATGCCTCAGTCTGGCTAAGTTTTCTTTTCCGCATGCAACTTTTCACAAAAAAGCCTACAACCAAGACAAAAGCCCCCAGAATTATCATTCTAACACAACAGCAGATTAAAGAAATAAAACTGCAGGACTAAAGTGTTTTAAGGGAGAGGCAGTGAACTGCCACTTTGCAGCTGTGGGATAGTACTGCCAGTTATCAATTGGGCCTTTTACACGTAGCTCTGAATAAGAATAGTATCACCACATACAGGTGATATTAAGCTGAGGAGAAGTCCACACAGGGACATCTCCCCCCAGCCCTCTCTCCCTGTAACAGAGACCTGAACTGCTAGATTCCTCAAGTGTGAAGCAAGTTTCTCATTACTACCACTTCTCCATTCCCCACAAGTTTGGACCGAGCCTGTAGTCCTTTCTCCTGCCAACCTGAAAGCAGTTTCATCCCCATCCTAGAGACATGGCATCCTAGGACACAACCTGCATTAGTTTTGACCGAGGTCCCTCATCTACACCTCCAAAGCTCTGCTGGCTGACAACCATCCAGATGGGCTTCTCCAGGACTGGAGCTGCTGATCGTCCTGCCTCCTCTGAAAATTCAGACCTTCACTGTGATCCTGACAACCGGACTCTCGTAGTCACTGGAGTCTCTCTGATAAGCTAGTTGTGTCAAAGACAATCTCAATTGCAAACTCCTTTCACAGGTTACACTTTGAAATCTCTTACCATGTCACACTAGTTTTCAGGGTTTCAAGCAGCCAAACGCTCTAGCACTTGAGCATTTTGCTTTGTGTTTCCTTTTTGGTGGCTAACCATCGCCAAGATTCCTAAACAACTGCTCTACCCACT